AATACAACAATGGCGGCAATGAACAACAGCAATTCGATTAATAAACTTATAGACCACACCCCTACATTAATCTTAGCAACGCCCACCAACATAATTAACTTTTATTTGCAAAAATAGCATGAAAATGAATGGAAATGAAAAGGGAAAGTAACTGAAATGATTCATAAATAAAATAATAATATTATTATAGTTAGTTTAATTATAATTCTATATCTGTCACTTCAAATAATTTTAAATGATAATAATAATAATAATAATAATAATAAATTAATGATGATGATCATGATAGAGCTAGTATAGTTTCTCTTAAAGGATGACACATTTATTTCCGGTCGATTCATCCTCTCCTCTCTTATTCTGTGTCACAGTCTCGCACACAGTCTGCCAGTGAGGAAGGAGACCCGTAAAACACTTCTTAAATGGAGTGTGGATATGACGAAGTTCCACAGCAGTATCATTACCACTTCCTCCCATGAGAACTTTCTGGGACTGCTGCCAAGTGAAGAGACACGCCCCTGTACTCTGATGGAATGGGTGGAGCTCAGTGACAAAGATCTGCAAAAAAAAACAATTTTAACTCGTAACTAACAAATTGCTCCAAATTATACTCAAACTCATTATGCTGCATACAGCAGTGCTATGGCACGAGCTAATTTTGGCTCAAATCCACAGCGAAAATACATTACAACATATCAGTAGTATTGTGTGTGTGTGTGTGTGTATTCATATAAAAATCTTATTGCATCATTACTTTGTTTGGTGCCAAGAACAAGTCCACAATGTAGTTGCCCTCTTTCTCCATTGCCGGCTTTAGATCGTTATCAAAGAAATACTGGATCTTACTGAGTATCGTCTTCTTGAAACGGGCAATGTTGGGAACATAGAGGATGTCGTCATGCTGTGTGACAGCTGTCAGCGTGTTCTATAGAAAAAGAAAAGGGAAAATTAAAAAAAGGTAAATGCTATGATATACTGTATAATAGCATTAGAGATACCAAATCAATATATATGTAATATGTATATTAATAGCTTACGTTATAGACAAAAGCTCTAAAGTTCATTCCAGGATAGC